TTAGGCGCTGAGTCGAGAGCAGTTTCACAATGTGGTGAAAGAGAAAGGCTTAAGGTGATGGGGTTAAAGAAAGACTAAGAGGAACAGACACAGACACAGAGCACACAGGCAGCTCCTTCAAGGAATTTGCAACAACAGGGAGCAAAGAAATGGGATGTGAAGACAAGAGAAGGATTTTGTAGTGGAGGTGGTGGCTGTTAGCATTAGAGGTAGGTCCACACGGTCACGTGGAATGATTCAGTAGAGGACAAATTATAGACACTGTAGAATGGGAGGGGGAATTGCTGGAGGGATGTCCTGGAACAGATAAGAAGGGATGGCACCCAGTGTGCAGTGGAGCGCCTGGCCTTGGACAGGATCATAGGTGTTCTCTTTACTTCTTCCTGTTTCTTACCTCTCTGATCCCCACAATGACCTCATTTTCAGCCAACTGTGTCCTCTCATGCCCTTTCCTGTTGTCTAAATTCTTTTGTCTCCTAATGGACACTTAGCCCTTCCTTCATGAAAAAGAAAGCAGGAAATTCATAACATTCCCCACTCGTAGAGTGAGGCTAAAATATCTGCTCTGCCTATTACCAGTTTTGTTGTATGGATCAAATGAGATTTACACACACACACACACACACACACACACACCAAGAGCTGTCCATGGTTCTGTCCCATTCATTGCTTTGTCACGCAAATGAAGTCATGATCCAGATGTGATCAAAGGTGATCTCTGCCATCATGCTTGTTTCTAACGCCCATATGCCACCTTGTGCATTTCTCTTCTAACATCTCCCTTTTCTCCCGTAGTGATCGAATATCTACCACTACTAGTGAGACCAGCTCTATTTCATTTATTGTTTCTCTTAGAATCTCTTGGAAATTAGATCATAGAATGTTCGCATTTGAAGGGACCTTAGAGCTCAGCAGTGTTTTCAGACACATTTTGGACATAGAAACTCTTGGGAAACTATAGATGTAATCCTCCTTTCAGACACTAATAAACAGAGCCCAAAAGGTGACAAAGCAAAGTGAAGACTAGAACTCATAAATACTGATTGCTAAACCATTCTCCATATCAGTTAAGATGCTTTTAGCTGCAAGAAAGATGGCTTTAGCAATAAGGGATATCTCACATAAGAAGTCTTGAAGTGGCTCCAGGAATAATTCAGGGGCTGAACAATGTCAACTAAGCCCCAGGTTCATCCCATTTCCCTCCCTGTTCTCCTCAGCGTGTCTGACTCCACCAACACTAGAAACCACGTCTCCTCCCAAGACCAAGGAGCAAAAGGGGATGGCTAGCTCTTCTCTTACCAACTCATTAATTTTCCTTCCAGAGATGCCCCCTCATGTCTTACTGGCCAGAAGGAAATGATATATCCCATCTTAAGCGGGTTGCTGGCAGAGAGCTCAGAATTCTCATGTTTGACCTAGACAAATCCAGATACACCCTCTGGGCCTGGGGTAGGGCCATCCATACCTGAAGCATAAAGTTGTATGGAAGCACATGGTTTCCCGGGCAAAATCAGGTCAGCTCGCAAGGAAAAGGGTGGGGGATTGTCTAGCTGTCGGGCAGGATTCTCCATGGGTCTCTCCCATTTCTGCTTGTCTTCTGAACAAGAGGCATTGTCAGCTTTGTTCATACCTTTTAAAGGATGTGTGTATAGCAAACAGTCTCAGGGGATAGAATGTCTTCCTCCAGAACAGAGAGTAGATTTGTTTCCTGACCAGGATAATAAAGCCAGTGTCTCTCCCCAGGACAAAAGTTAAGCAGGTTTGCTAGCAGCCCTTTTAAAAACTTCGGGATTTCCTAAAGTCAGGGCTCCTTGGCTGTGATGCAAACTCACTGCATAGGCAGCATCCACCTGAGCTGCTCCACACGGCCCCCACGGGACTCTGGGGACCAGAGAAACCAAGGAGGATTGACGCTCATGCCGCCTGCTGCACTGTGAAGAATGCAGTGCGTTGTCTCTGACCCACGAGTCTCCTGTCTTCTGCCAGCATCTACAGAATGATGGCAGGCTTACTTGTGAGTTTGCAAGAAAGATGCTTCCCAGTTCCTGACACTAAGAGAAAGGCAACCATTAGTGTGTGCTACAGTGTTCTTTCTAATGAGCCACGCTAGAAACATCCAATCTTCAAATACTTATTTCTGAAAATAAGAATAGTTTCGATATGTCAGAAATTCCTTTTCCACAGTCAGAAACAGGGCAACACTTCAGTCTCCTGGAGACACACATTAAGAGGATGGTGTCGCTGGCTCTCGTGTCTTTTACTCTGCCTCCCTTTCATTCGCTTGCTGACTCTCTCTGTAATTATCTCTTTTAAAATGTCAGCTCCTCTCACCCAGAGACGGAGAGCAGTCATCCACAAACTGAACTTCAGAAGCTTTTAAAACACACTTGCCGTTTGGCTGGGAGATAGGATTTCTCAAAGGCAATGTCAGGGAAGCTGACATTGAATAAATGGGCAAAAGGAACCCTTTCCCTCACTCTCAGGCGGGGCCTCAGGAAGCACCAGAAGGGAAGTGGGATGGGCTGAAATTGTGGACATTGCTTCAACAGAGCCTGGATGGAGACTCTTGGAGGAGGATTCTGCTCTCAGAGGCCCTCAGCCTTGAGTCCCTCTTCCTGCACCCAGCTGGGGAGAGGACTGAGCTACAGCAGGTCCTCGAGACCTTCTTTCCTTCTCTAGAGGGAAGTGTTGATGTTAAGGAACAGGGGATCTAGTGCGACAAGCCGAGAAGGAAGTATGGATATTTCCTGGTAACTGCTGGTCCTCAGAGTTTCTCCAAATAGTGACAACTTAAAGACCTGAACAGGGGCTTCCCTGGTGGCGCAGTGGTTGAAAGTCCGCCTGCCGATGTAGGGGACACAGGTTCGTGCCCTGGTCCGGGAAGATCCCACATGCCGCGGAGCGGCTGGGCCCGTGAGCCATGGCCGCTGAGCCTGTGCGTCCGGAGCCTGTGCTCCGCAACGGGAGAGGCCACAGCAGTGAGAGGCCCGCGTACCGCAAAAAAAGACCTGAACAAAAATTCGTCAGAGCAGGAGGAGAGGAAATTAGAGGAGCATTAATCCCTCTGAGTCAAATTTTAGAGTTAAACTCAATTTATCCCTAAATCATATTTCCCTGATGGCTGTTGATGCCTTTGAAGCAAAACCAACTTTCCTTCTTAGCTCAGGAAGTCTTGTTCTCTGGCTATTCTGACAACTTACATTTTAAAATGCATCTGCTAAGACACAGCACTGCAAGAACAGAACAAATTCAATCTTAAAAACCGAGGTTACGTTTTCCCCATTGACCATGCCAGAAATTCAGGGAAAGGTCATTCAGTTCATGAGTCGTATGATCGTCGACCCGTATTCTGATCATACTTCTGCAGAAACCTTGGTGAAGGTCACTGGCCTCCATCAGGTCACAGTGACCCCGGAAGGCAGGAGCTCCTAATTTAGAGAAGAAATTTCACCAGAGCACGTGTGGCGTTACCACAGGTGTTAAAATTAAAGTTCCCTTTCTAACGACATAAAGGAACCAAATTCCTTGGTACAACTAGGTTGATGAAATTGAGTTCTCCATCTAATGTCCCTGGAGCTCAATAAAGTTAATACAGCTTTCAGAGGGGCCTGACCCAGAGGTGGGGAACAGTCTAGGTCTTGAGAGAATCTGGCCCACTGCGGTTTTTAAATCAGAAGTTTGATTGCTTGCAACATCATTTCAAAATGGTACCAGTCCAGAGAAGCTGAATTTTTCATTAGCCTGGGGAAAAAAAATGACAGATATTTAATTAAACTGCTTGGAGATTAGTCAGAGGCTCATTGATAGATGGAGGAGCTGAATCTCTTTATAAGCAAATTAGAAGATCCAGTGGTGTGCCTCATCTTTCCTGTCAAAAGAATTCACCAAGCTAAGGAGCTGGGACCCGCATGCCACTACCTCTCCTGCCAATCGCAGGAAAAATATACACTTAAAAAAACATATTTATAAAGCACTAGGTAGTCACTGAGGAACTTGAAACCTAAAATGTGTTGTGAGAAAGCTACTTACAATTGGAGTTACCAAAGCAGCCTCCTAGTCCATTTTTCCATTGTTGAAGGGTTTACAATTTCCATTGTTGAAGGATTTATTAAAGGAGTTTGATTGGGAGCAGATCTGTAAAAAAACAAAAAAGGAAGAATGATTTGTGATCAGTGCTGGAGGGTAGGTTGAGAAGGCCCTGACATCCCAGATGGCGATCATCCAAGGTGTGCAACAAATGATTCAAGAAAGGGTTTTTTCTGCAGGACTCTGGAGCTGCCCTTTGCCCAGCCCCAGAAGTCCGGAAAAGATATGGGTCATCCTCATTGCATGCACAATTCACAGCTCCCTAACTTTCCATAGGAACTTTAAGGATTAGATCAAGGAAATAAAGTTTTGTGAATACCCCCAAAGCAGTAGCTCTCAACTCTAGCTATATATTAATATTTTCCAGGAAGCTTTTAAAAATTACCAGTGCCTACCCAGCTGAGTAGGAATCCCTGGGGACGGAGCTGGACACGGGTGTGTTTCGTAAAGCTCTCGGGACGCTTGGTGCAGCCAGAGCTACAAGTCACGCCCTAGAAGCTACTGAAGACTCAGGGTGTATGTAGAGCCAAAAGGTCTCAGGCTCTGAAATCTGAGAAGCCTGGTTCCGATCCTGACTCCACTACTCACTAAATCTAAGGTGCTGGACATGTGCTTAAGTGCTCCAGCCTTCAGTTTCCTATCTGGAAAGAGTCAATGATGGTAACTTCCTGATAAAATAAACAAATGTATACCTGACCCCCAATCCAAGTTTATTTTCCTTCCCCTGGTTATTAATGGTTAACAATGGGTTCATGTTTTATCCCTCCTCAAAGGATTTCGCCTTGGACCTTTGTAGCAAGTGACGAGCTTAGATTACTTTTCTCTCCGTGCTTTGTTTTACCTCTAGAATTCACCGCTGTTTGGTATCTGGGAGGGAAATACTCATGTGCCTTTCATGCTTTCTGCTCCTCCAGCTGCCACGGAAGTGTCCTTTTCATTTGATGTCGGAAACGGGCCAGTGGAGATTGTGGTGAGGTCACCCTCCCCTCTGAACGATGACCAGTGGCACCGGGTCACCGGGGAGAGGAATGTCAAGCAGGCCAGCCTGCAGGTGGACAGGCTGCCCCAGCAGACCCGCAAGGCCCCAACGGAAGGCCACACCCGCCTGGAGCTCTACAGCCAGCTGTTTGTCGGTGAGTGATGGGACAGCAAGAGTGACTTCTCTGTTGCTTGAAATAACTTCCACCTTGGGAAAAAAATAAAACTGCCTACATAGGGTTCTGATAGAGATTTTTCCAAAAGTAAGTGTTTTTGCCTCTTGTGGTCTCCTCTGAAACAGAATGGAACAAGGAAGAGGACCCAGGAGCCCTAAACCTGGTTCTACCCTCCGCTTTCTGTTGTGTTTTCTTTTTGGCCACATCGCACGACATGTGAGATCTTAGTTCCCCGACAAGGGATCGAACCCGTGTCTCCTGCATTGGAAGTGCAGAGTCTTAACCACTGGACCACCAGGGAAGTCCCTACTCTCTGTGTTCTGGAGCCCACAATCCTCATCTACAAAATGAGAGGGTGGGCTAGGACATCTCTGAGGTTTCTGATCTATGCAGTTTTAGGTTTATGGTTTTAGAACTGCATAAAATTCCTTAATGATTTAGAGCACTTGTAAATGTGCAAAAGGAAGGATGGAAGAAGGGGAGGGAGGGAGGGGAGAGAAGGAATGGGTTCCCTAAGTTCAGGTTTGCTTGAAATGATAAGTAGAAATCCACTCCTTTCTCTGCCTAGCCTCAAGGTTCTAGGCAGAGAAAGACTTAGACTTCTCCTTACATAACATCTTTACACAGAGGAAAGAGATCAACACTGAGAAGAAATTGAAACAGAGCAAAAAGTAAAGCATCCTTTGCGAGAAGTAGATCTAGCCCCACATTCTGGTCTTTGCTTATGACATGTCCTAACTGAACCTAACATTACTTTCAATCAATACTCATTTCCATGGCTTGTGAGATTTTAACTTTTGTCTTCCAGAATACTAATATTTTAGGAAATTAGCTATTTTTCTTCTGTTGAATGAAAAGAAAGCAAGTTTGAAGGACTTGGTGGCTGTCTTGCCACCTTAGACCTCCCCTCTAGGTGTGTGTGGGTTAACTGGTCGAGTCTGTCAGCTGTGGTCTCAGACCCAGCAAAAGCAGACATGACCTTCCACCTGGGCTCCACCCAGTGGAGGTTAGAGTCCCGATGATGTCTTTCATAATTATGGCAGGATGTTTTAAGAACATTAGAAAGTCACAAAAAGACAGGTAAAATGAGATGTCCACTCCTTTGGTGAAATGTGGGCAAATTGTCAACGTAGTCGGTTAGCTTTGGAAGTAAGACTGACTTGATAACAAGCCACATCCGCCAGGCGCCATGAACGTTACAGATTTTGAAAGAAAGTACTGACTGCTCCAACCCAACCAGAACTCAGTCCCTTCCAAATCCTCCCCTCAAGTTATAGTTCTCAAAATTACACATTATTTTTAAATTACTTTTTTATTGAAGTACAATTGATTTACAATGTTGTGTTCCTGGTGCACAGCAGAGTGACTCAGTTATACAGATAGATATTCTGTTTCATATTCTTTTCCATTATGGTTTATCACAGGATATTGCATATAATTCCCTGTACTATACAGAAGGACCTTGTTGTTTATCCATTCTATATATAATAGTTTGCATCTGCTAACCCCAAACTCCCAATCCAACCCTCCCCCACCCCCTGCCCCCTTGACAACCACAAATCTGTTCTCTGTGTCTGTGAGTCTGTTTCTGTTTCATAGATAAGTGCATTTGTGTCATATTTTAGACTTTACATATAAGTGATACCATACAGTATTTGACTTTCTCTTTCTGACCTACTTTGCTTAGTATGATAATCTCTAGGTCCATCCATGTAGCTGCAAATGGCACTATTTCATGCTTTTTTATGGCTGAGTAATATTCCATGGTATATATATATACCACATCTTCTTTATCCATTCATCTGTTGTTGGACATTTAGGTTGCTTCCCTGTCGAGGCTGTTGTAAATAGTGCTGCTATGAACATAGGTGTGCATGTGTCTTTTTTTTTGGCTGTGTTGGGTCTTCATTGCTGCACGCAGGCTTTCTCTAGTTGCGGCAAGCAAGGGCTACTCTTCATTGTGGTGTGCAGGCTCCTCATTGTGGTGGCTTCTCTTGTTGCAGAGCACGGGCTCTAGGTGCAGGCTTCTGTAGTTGTGGTGCATGGGCTCAGTAGTTGTGGCTCATGGACCCTAGAGCGCAGGCTCAGTAGTTGTGGCACACAGGCTTAGTCGCTCCCCCGCATGTGGGATCTTCCTGGACCAGGGCTCGAACCCGTGTCCCCTGCATTGGCGGGCGGATTCTTAACCACTGTGCCACCAGGGAAGTCCTGCATGTATCTTTTTGAATTATAGTTTTGTCCCGATATATGTCCAGGAGTGGGATTGCTAGATTGTATGGCAACTCTATTTTTAGTCTTTTGAGAAACCTCCATACTGTTCTCCATGGTGGCTGTACCAATTTACATTCCCACCTACAGTGTAGGAGGGTTCCCTTTTCTCCACAGCCTCTACAGCATTTGTTATTTGTAGACTTTTTAATCACTTTTATCAAACATCAGGTCCACTGATTTCCTGCCAAAAGCTGTGAACAAATTCCCCTTTATCAATACATCTTACCCAGATCACCTAGGATAAGTTTCTTCCTAAATCCTGTTCATCCCAGGCATGCTGGTTAGAATCTACTTGGTTTTCATTATAACAGGTGACCCTAATTGACCCAATTTCTCATTTTTCTGAGATCTCCCTGGATGCAGAGATCCAGTTTTACTGTTATCCCTTTCTGTCTACTGACTATAGTGGTCTCCAAGAGTCTTAGAGACCAAGTAAAGCTGTAAAATGAAAAAGGGTAGGGGGAGGTGTTTATTATGGTCTTGGAAAGAATTTTGATTCATGTAAACAAGATGACCTGGGAACAGCTTAATAAAAGAGAAGAGGAGAGGGCTGTGGTCAGAGTCCGACAGAACACTTAAATCTAAGGGAGAGGCAGGAAGAGTAGCATCTCAGGAAGAGGAATGAAGAGGAATGAAAAGAACAAGCAAGGAAAAACCAGGAGACAGGCTGTCACAGGAGGAGAGAGTTTCATGAAACTGCTTATCATTGACAAATAATATCAAGTCCCATGTGTAAAATAGAGCTAAGAAAATGTTCTTTCAATTTAGTAATTATGAAACCACTGTTGACTTTGGAGAGAGAAAAGTTTCAGAACAGTGGGCTGATACGATGAGTCAGCAGCTTCCTTTCACTTGATGAAAAAGACTAAGTCTCCTGTGCCACTTTCTAATTTCCTGTTATCTGAGATGTGGGCGTGAGGCACATCTCCCGGACACAAGCTATTTGAGACAGTATGAGAAATATTGGTCTGCAATAGAAGTCTACCCCAGGGGAAGTGGGGAGGGGCTTGTTTCCAGAAAACAACAAATTCAACAGCTCTGAAGTCCTGGAGCCAGTTATCCCGAGACTATTCGATAGGGATTCAGGCAACCGGGAAGTTGTTCTCAGTTCAGCTCTAATAACAAGTGTTACCACTTTTCCTCTTGGAGTCTCTTTTTTCATCAAATAAAGGAATTGGATTAGTTGGTCTCCAAACTTTCTTCCAACTTCAGCCATTGTGTGTTTATAAGTGGTTTGAAAAGTTCTGAGTTGCCAAGCGATTACCCATAACACCATGAGCTTGAATCCCACCTCTGCCACTTAGCATCTGAGGGACCACTGACAAGTTACGTAATATATCTGTCAAGTAGGGATACAGTTCCTGTGTCTCAGGAGGAGATGAGCTAGTCCATGCTAAGCGCTCCGTATAGTATCTGGCACAGAGCCAGTACTCATTAAATAGGAGGTATTTCTCTACCTTTTCCTTTACCTTTTATTCCCTCAGCTTTCTTCTTCCTCCATGTAATATTCACCCTCTCCTACAGAACTCACTTCCCTATAGAACTCACTTCTAACTAGCTTGTTTCTTCCTTCCCAAAATACTGACCTGAAATGGGATCACTTCACCCCACCAGCCCTGAAGGAAAGGTCACGTGTTACATGGCCCTCGACATCCAAAGTCACTCCACTCACCTGCCATGGTGGCCACAGAGCAGCAAGCAAGGGCCCAGGAATTTTCTCACCAAAAAGGAGTGAGCATCCCTCTGAAAACACCACCCAGCATCCCTTTCTACAGCAGAGACTTGGGGCAGAGCTGCCCGAGAGCTCCATCGGGGTTCTAGAGAAGGAAGGGCTTAAAAGCTCAACCTAGAGCTAAAAGACGTTCTTGGCTTTGGACTCTATGGAAGGCCACCCTCTGCCTGCTGCCTACATTAGCAAGGCCAGGATCCTGTCTCCTCTTCTAAAGTCACTGAAAAACAGAGGCTACAGTTCTCTTCACTCTACATGTAAAATATAATTAGAAGGTAGAGCCTCCTTTCCATTGGATAGTCCCCCGCCACGAAGTGGGAGGAGATAAGGCTCCATCCTTCAATAACACTTATCTACCCAGCAACGGGGCTGGGGTAGCAGTAGAGTCTCCATGGCATAAACAAAGAAACTGTGACTCAGAGAGCCTAAGTAAACTGCCTGATGCCATACAACTACATGCAGTGATGAATGTGAGATTCAGACTTGGATTTGTCTGGCTCCAAAATCTCTGTTCCTTCTATGACAGTAAAACAAAGGAGAAGAAGAGCGAGAGAGCCGTGTGGCTGACAGGGTCTCGGTGCCCCGGGCTAGTGTCAGGCCTGAGCCTCTGAGGTGGGAGAGCCGAGTTCAGGACATTGGACCACCAGAGACCACCCGGCCCCATGTAATGTCAGTCGGCAAGAGCTCTCCCAGAGATCTCCGTCTCAACGCTAAGACCCAGCTCCTCTCAACGGCCAGCAAGCTCCAGTGCTGAACACCCCATGCCAAACAACTAACAAGACAGGAACAAAACCCCACCCATTAGCAGAGAGGCTGCCTAAAACCATAGTGAGTTCACAGACACCCCAAAACACACCAGCGGACGTGGCCCTGCCAACCAGAAAGATAAGATCCAGCCCCACACACCAGAACACAGGCACCAGTCCCCTCTACCAGAAAGCCTACACAAGCCCCTGAACCAACCTTACCCACTTGTGGC